CGGAGTAACACACGGAACCCACCAGCGCGCCGACCTGGGGCCAGGCCCTTTAAAGATCTAGAGTAGAGGTGGGCGACCTGTTCAGGTCTAATAGCTTTGTGTAGGTGCACGGGCATTTTAATACGACTCTCTCCAAGTTTGTAATGAAAACAAAGTCAGTCCTACGTGGCCACAGGGTTTCCAGAACTGGACTCCTTATGACCTGCTCTGGTTGCTCACACCAATGACATGGTTGGAGTCTACTTCACAGCCGGCCCACAAGAGGGAGATCTAAAACAACCCAGCAGGCAAGCGGCCCCGGGCTTCTCCAGGTCTCGGGGCTCCTGGAGGCTCTCCGGGTTCCACCGCCCTGGGCAGCCTCGTGAGAGGAAGTGGCCCCGAGGACCCAGCAGAGACTGAGCGGGGGTCTGGAGGACACATTTAAGGAGCTGTTCCAGAGGAGAGAGCACATGGTGGCAAGAGAGGCAGGTGTCCCAGACGGCAGGTGAGCGCGGGCTGGGTCTCCCAGAACCTGTGCCCTCCCCTGGGCCACGGCAGGAAGCAGCAGGTGCGGCTGCTGGACGGGGGCAGGGACTCTGGCTCGGCTCTGAGCTGGCGAGGGGCCGCTGGAGCACAGCTGCTCTTGGAGTTGACCTATACGAGCACCGTTTGAAGACTTGACCCATGTGTGGCGATTTTCAAGCCTTTCCTTGAAAATTTCTCCTTATTTTATTCTTGTTTTAATCATAAATTAGGGAGGCTGCACAAACGAAGGGTGCGCAGTTCACTAGCACCTCTGTGAACGGGCAGCAGGCCACTGCTTTCACCTCACTCTGGGGGGGTAGGGACCTATGATGCCACCCTGGACACCCGTCTGGGAGGCAGAAGCTATGCCGGCACGCTGGTGACACTCCAGAGCAAATTGTTAAATGATTGCGATGGTCAAATGTTGTGGCTGGAGAAGTTTGAGCAAAATACACTTTGTAAGTGCACGGAATATTACTCAGCCCTCAAAAAGGAAGGGCCTTCTGACGGTATGCTGGGTGACCAGCCATTCACAAAAGGCCGACTATCCAGCGAGTCCAGTCATGAGGTGCTGGGGTCCTCAGAGTCGTGGCTGGGAGATGTGAACGGTGGGTGTTGGGCTGGGGGAGGGGTGGGAGTGAATGGGGGCCTGGGACGCCTTTTGGAAAGATGAGCAAGTTTGGGAGATGCAGGGTGGTGATGGTGGCAGAAACGTGAGCAGCTTATTACCACAGAACTGGACACTGGGTAAGGTACTTTTTACCTAATGTGTATTTTAGCACAATTTGAACAATTAGCGAGGAAGGAAGGCGTGTTGGAGAGAAAGCCAGCGCGGATGCACTGGGCGGGCAGGCTGTCGGGCGCCTGGGCCGCTGCCCTGTCCGCCCGGGGGCATGCGCCGGTGCACAGTCTCTGCTGTCATGTGGCTCAGAGGGAGGCGGACACGCTGACCCGCCACCCCACCCCCACAGCACCTGGAGCCTGACGGGTCCCCTCGTCCATTCCTGCTCCCCCCCAAAATAACCCCCGCTTGGGGTAACCTCCGGGCTGGATGCCCGGGGAAGCTGGGACAGAGGGCAGCCCAGGCGGCCGGGAGAGCCCACCCTGTGGGGGAGGGCCAGGTGAAGGGGGCAGGAACCTCCAAGCACCCCGCGCTGGAGAGTGGGGAGCAGGCCGGCCTTGGCGCCAGGGTCATGGGCAGGGTCACCTCCTCCCGCCTCCCATAACCGCGTGGGCACATTGCTGGTCACACCTGAGGACCCACAGGTGACAGGGGGTGTGGTGGAGGGAGGGGGAGGGGAGGTGCCCGGGGATCCCAGCCGGTTACTCGTCTAAGCCGGAAGCGCGGGTTGGCCCACCCCTGGGCGGCGCGGCTGGCATCCGGCTGGCATCGCCGGCCGTGGACCCCGGGCCAGCCCTGGAGGCCAGGTTCTAAGGCGGGGAACAAAGGGCCTCTTCACAGGGGAGCTTATCGTCGGGAGAAATCCGGGTCCCCAGGAATTCTCAGAAAAAGGCCACCGCCACCCATTCGCTCCAGTTTTTATTGCACAATCACGTAATTAGGACCTGAGCTCCAGCCCCCGCTAGTGCCTGGGAGGTGATAAGAATAGGACATTGGTCCCCGCCCTGGCACGGCTGCTAAGACCCCGTCTCCCAGGAGGAGCCGCACCCTGGGGCCGAGGCTTCCTGAAGCCCCAGGGGTGCAGCCCGCCCCCTGGGCCTCCGGGAGGCCAGCGGGAGGGCGGTGGGGCCAGGCCCGCTGCGCCCCAGCCCTCCCGCATCCTGGTCCCCCTGCTCCTGACTGTGCCCTCAGGAGGACCTGGAGCTCGGGTGAGACAGTGCTCTGTGAGGGCCTGGGGGAGGGAGGTGGACGCCAGGAGGAGGGGCGCCCACTGTGACACAATCAGGATGGCCAGCAGCGGGGCAGCGGCCTGGGGGAAAGCCCTGAGCTGAGCAGTTAATGCCGGACACACCCGGGAGCCTGGGCCCCAGGCTGGAGCCCAGTGGCTGGGGACTCGCCCCGGGGAGGGGCAGTGTCTGCCCTGGGAAGTCGGCTGCGCCCAAGACAGGGGCAGGCAGGCGGAGGCAGGCGGAGGCCTTGGGAAGCAGCAGGCTGCAGCCCTCCCCACACCGCCCCCAGGAGAGAGCAGCTGGCCAGGCGCCTCCCTCTCTCCCTGAGGGCCTCGCAGCCACCCGCAGTGGGTGTGGGTTCTGGTTCCACCACTTGCTAATTACAAGGTCTTGGGAGTGTGATTAACCTCATGAAGCCTCCGTCCTTCCTTTGTGAATAGGGGTATCGCTTGTTTCGCCCCCAGAGCAAAACCCCTCGCAGCCAGTGTTTTATCCACTGGTCACGTTTCAGCACCCACGGGACACGAACCAGATCAGTGATTTGTGTCCCTAACGTGAGCTGACTTTTGCCTTCCTAAGCAAGGGGGACAGGAAAGCGCCATCACCCCTGTCCTGTACACCGGTGACAGGCGCCTGTTCCGTTTATTTGGGGCCCGGCCACGGAGACTGACCGCAGAAAGACACTTCCGAGTACGTGCGGACCCGTGACCACGTTTACACCTGCCTCTGTAGCCTGCTCTAGTCAGCAGGTGTCCAGAAAGGACTGTAGCACTTTAGGAAAAAACAACAGGGAGTTACCATCCAGGCAGTCCCTTAAATACTCCTCACTCAGCTTTACAAATGGGTAAAATGCAAGAGTCTTAAAATCATTAACTATTTCGACCTTTCTAGAAATCTATCCTTAAGGGGATATTAAAATTTAAATGGAAATTATACTGTAAGCACTTACTGCAGCCAGGGTAGCGGCCTTTGCAAGTGTCCACCTGCTCGCCGTCAGGAGAGAGGGTGAAGCTCACGGCCGGGGCCTCCCCGGCGCACCCGGGGCTGCAGCTGAGCACTGGGAGGCTGCCGCACCCCAGCTCTTGATGCACCAATAAATACACCTCCTTTAAAAACAGGAAATCACAGGAAATGGTTAACAGCAAATGAAAATCCAGGACACGCGCTGAGTGTGCGATCTGTGGCCACGTGTGTAACGGCAGAGAAAGTGGGCTGGAAACGGACGCCAAGGTGGAGTTACAGGCGGCCGCTGCTGTCTTCGTCGTGTTTTCAAAGTTTGCAAGTTCGCCAGGGAAGTGCAAACATAACGTCCAGTCAGAAACGGGAGCTTCTGCCCGAAGGCAGGACGGGTGGAAGCCCTCTCCCCCCGCACCCCACCCTCCCGCTCCCCCACACCACTGTGCTTTGGGGCGCCCACACCCTCCTTCGCGGGGCGGAAGCATTCAGGAACCTCCTGTCCACTTGGCTTCACTGATGGACTCAAATATTAAGTTCTCTAAACACACGAAGGCTTGAGCCCCCTGTCCTTTCTCAGCCGGAGAAGTTCATTCACACACAAACCACGGAAGGTTCTGCCGTGTCCATTCAGCCCTTTGTCCTTCCTCGATTGGCCGCTTGCCTTCTGCTGTTGCCGCGTAAGCCCCTGGGGATAGGAGCTGTGGCTACTCTGTCGTAGGGCGGCCTCTGTGCCGCAACTTCTTTTGTTTTAAGAAGCTTTTCATTGGATGCGCTTCCATGTGCTTGTTTTTGCCGTTAATTTCCGTGCTTTTGGAATTGGGTCCCCGAAATGTCTCCGAGGTGGAAGTCTTAGAGCACCACCTGCACCTCTGGTCTCAGGTGATACCCCCATTTTGAACTAGCTTTTGTGTGTGGTGGGAGCTTCTGGCCTACTTTAATTCTTTTGCATATGTTGTCTCACTTTCCCAGCACACTTGCTGACACGACTTTTCCCACCGTCTTGGCTCCTCTGGCCTACATTAGCTGTCTGAACCTTGTGGGTTTATTCGTGGGGTACCAGTGCTGTTTGACTGCTCTCTGTCTGTTTTTGTTCCACGACCGTACTGTTTTGATAACTACGGCTTTATAATATGTTTGAGGCTGGGGAGTGCAACACCTCCAGTTTTGTTGTTTTCCCCTCGGGATTGCTTTGACTCTTCAGGGCCTTTTGTGGTTCCATATGGATGAAGTAATGGATTAATGGATTAAGTAATGTTAGAGTTTTAATAGGGAGCCATTGAATCTGTACGCTGCTTTAGTCCTGTGGCCCATTTCAGCAGCGTTAATTCTTCCAACCCATGAGCACAGAGAATCTTCATTTTGCTGGTCTCCTACTTTCAACAATGTCCTGTAGTTTTCTATGTGCAGGTCTTTCACCTGTTTGTTGACTCCTGGGTATTTTATTCTTTCCAGTATGATTATAAGTGGGGTTTTCTCTTAGTTCTCTTTCTTCCTGTTCATACTCCTCGGGCGCCGGAGGGCAGAGCCAGGAGAGGCTGCCAGTGAACCAGAGGCAGGAATGTACCACCACCTTGACCTTGGGCCTTCGGCCTCCAGACAGTGAGGAATACATTTCTGCAGCTTATCAGCCAGCCGACTGTGGTATGGCCGCTGGAGGGGCCTGCGATAAGCTGTGTTTTACCTGTCCCGACTCCTCCCTCCCCCCTGCCCTCCTCACCTCCAGCCCTCTCACCCCACACTTGGTGTTCTGTGCCATTTCAAGCTGACTCTCCCCACGGCCTCAGACTGATCAAAGTGAAACCCGTGGGGGCCGCCGAGCCCTCACACAGAGCTCGCCACGGTCCCTCTGCTGACTGACTTCAATGGCAGAGAAGAGCCTGATCTCCGCCAGGCTGTCTGGCTCGTCTTCTGGGCTCTCGGGGTTCCGAGCTCCTTCCTTCCTCCCCAAGCCCATGCTCCGAGAGCAGCTTCGAGCCTGCCCAGCCGGCGTGTCCAGCACTGCCTCTAGATTCTGAGCTGGTCACCGGGGCCCCCACCCATGCTCAGGCCCTGGCCGGCCTGCTTCCCTGCTGCGCCCTTTCTGTGCGGTCTGCTGGAGTCTCCAGTGGTCACACTCCTGCCTCACTGAGCCCCCTGATTTCCCCTTGTGATCGTTCCTCAGGAAGCTTAGAAGTGCACTGTCATGCGTGTGAGCTCCGTGGGGCGTGGGGGTGACAGCCTCCTCGCTTCTCAAGGGACCCTGTTCTAGTACTTTGAGCGTATCTTGGTTTGCCTCCCAAGATGTCTGTCCCCACCTGCCTCTCCCAGCCTGCTGGGGTCTTGCCATCTGCTTGCTTGCTGTCTTTGTTTAAAGATTTATGTATTTGTGCACACAGAACTGGGGTACTGGCTAGAGGCGCAGGGGGTGAAAGGACTCATCAGAGACAGAGCGGGGAGCAGAACAGACAGATCAACGAAGCACACTGCTGAGGGGAGCCGCGGGCAGGCCAGGAGGGGTCTGCTGCACCCTGGGGGTCAGCTCAGGGCGGGGGTCGGACTCGCACCCCAGGGAGGGCCGCCATCTGCTTTCTAGGGGGCTGCGTGCTACTTGCGTTTGTGAATCGCCTGTTTCTTCTCTTTTTCTCTTTCATTTTCAGCCGGGTTATTGTTACTATACGTAATGCATTAGACGCTTAGTATTTATCTTCTGGCCAGTCACTGCAAGGAGTTACCTTACCAGTCTTTTTTTTTCTTCAAGATTTGTCTCTTTATGTACACAGAACTAGGGTACGGGCCAGAGACAGAGCGGGGAGCAGAACAGGCAGCCCCACTGAAATCCACTCTGAGGGGAGCAGCGGGGAGACAGGCGAGGCCTGCTGCGCCCTGGGGGTCCCCTCTGCCAGGGGTCAAACTCGTGCTGCAGCGGCTGTGGCCAGCTTCGCAGGGATTCACTTCAGTGCACGGCCTCCAGGGAGGCCACCTTACCAGTGCTAAGCATTTTTCAGTCGATTTTAATTGTTTTCTAGGTAGGTGGTGATAGCATCAAACAGAAAGTCTTGTCTCTTCAGTAATTCCTGGTCCGGCCAGAATTTAAGAATTTGTCTCTCCAGTTTCATGAGCTCGCAAGGTCTTTTTTAGGATCATGTTAAGGAAACCACATCTGATTACTTTTTCTCCGGATTTCCTTATCTGGGGAGAAGCTGGATTTTGCCCACTGGAGGCCCATCAGGAGTGGCGCGCTTGTGAGGGGCAAAGGCTGAGGTGAGGGGGAGGGAGGCAGCTGGGCCGTCCCAGACTCGCACAGACACTCCAGGGAGAGCAGCGGCGAGAAAGGCGGAGACTGCTGAGGGCCGGCGGGGGGCTGGAGGACGCCTGGGGGGGCCCGGTGGGCCAGCGTTGGCCGAGGGTAGCGGGCCTGGTAGACGGGTCCTGGAGACCTTTAATCAGAGGGCTACAGGGAAGAAAAGAGCCCAAAGTGAACGCACCATGCAAAGTCACTGGCCTGTGATTCAGAAATGTTTTACACCGGGGCACTGGGGGTGCTTGGGGGTGCGTGGGGTTCTTCGCGATGCAAAATGCCGATGGCACCAGCTGCAGCTTGTGGTTCACGGACGGCGACCTCCAAAATAAGGGGGTTGCGTGGGTGGGTCAATGTCTGACCATGGCCAGATCCTGGGGCTGGGAGGGCCCTCTATGAGTGCCCCCTGTCCAGGGAGAGGGCTCTGTGGCCATGACCCTGTGCCCGGCGGGGAGGTGCAGAGTAGCTCTGCAGCATGGGTGCTGTGGCTGGCCTTCCAGGGCTGGGGGGCGGCGAGCGGGGCCAAGAGGTGCTGGCCGGCCTGCTCCTGGGTGTGGGGCCTGGAGCTGGGGGCTCGGCAAAGAAGTAGCCTGGAGGAGCATTGGGGCAGCCCCCCCACCCCCCGCGCCCCGCACCTTTACAAGACCCCAGAGAGAGATCAGCCTCCACCCTGGCCCAGCCCGGGCGCAACAGGGCCTCTGTGGGACGGCCAGCGCCGGCCACCTGCCCGCGCCTGCCTTTGGTCCTGTGTGGCTGCTGTGG